TGAAATAATGTCATTTTTGACCACAAGTTGTCTGCTTTGCCAAGCCTTATGTTTTATTTTTCCGGAGTTCAAAATTTATTATCCATTACCGTACTGTACATTTTGCTTACACCACCAATATGTACTTTTTGATACAGCGTAACTCGAAAACCGTATGGAATACAAAAAAACGGAGACCACCTCCAGTGTTGGGCTTTACATGCTCTACAAAATGCAAAAAAGAATGGGTCTCTGGAATTAACGGTTCCCGAATTAGAGACAGTTTTCAGTTTCGGTATCTTATGGCTGCTACGCCCGTGAAAATGCACCGATTGACCCCAAATTCACGGAGATGAAAGATGACCTGAAGGGTAACACTTTCCAATAATATTATTGGTTAAGTCTGTGTGGTGTCTGAATAACAGGGCAAATAATTTTTTTTTCGAAAAAAAAATTCATTTTTTTGAAAATTTTGACTCATTTGACCTTGAAAAAAGGTCAAAGGCCAAATCCAAGGGCATATTTGAAATCTACACATATGACTTTTGGAAAGCCGTCTGTAGAAATTTTTCCCATAATTCCTTCCGTAGGGTAGATAATTAGCATTTAATTTTGCCATTTTTAGACAAGGGTGCATTGCAATGAGTGCCACACCTAGACCCCAATACCGACAAAGCCCAAATTTTACGTGGAACGAGTTGAGATTATAGGTGACCTAAATCCAAGAGATGGATACGCAGGCCCTTGTAGTCTAGGAGGAGAAGCGGTAACGATGACATGGCGGCGGAGCCGCAGGAGCCGGCGGAACGAACCGGATGGGACTAAAACCATGTGTACCGCCAGCGCTAACGCTGGTGGTACAATGAATAATTATATATAACACACCAAAAAAAAAAAAAAAAAAAAAAAATACATACATATATATATTCAGCATTCAAATTCATTAACATAATCAGTTAAAAAGTTTGCAAACAAGATAGAGGGCAAAACTTCTTACCAGTCTATCCTTGACTTTTTTGTGAGCTTGGACCAGTCTTTCCCTGTATCTGGCCTCAAGCTGCAACAGTGCATTTTCCTAGCAAAGATAATTAATTTTATATTATATGTTAATCCTCAAAATATTGTCTCTGGTTAAAGGGATAATAACTCTTCGTTTCGGCCAAAAAATGAATTTTCCTGGAATAAAGAACAATTTTCCCATACTTACCAATGGTTAATGAATCCATTTTTACATTCAAAGTTGGTCCCTGGTTTTTTTCTAAAAAGTTTGGTTTTTTGTTAAAATCTCTTAAGAGATTTTAACAGAGTATAGCCATCAATGGAGGTCACGTGGTCTAAAGACAAGCTCAGATATCAGAATAATAGCTATAACTGCTGTTTTTGTGGTAAAACAGAATATATTATATTTCTATGAGTTATTCACAATGTTTTTATTGTGCAATATAGATCTCATATGAGGAGTTATCATCCCTTTAATATAAAATAAATTTAACTAAATGAAGACTGAGTGAGAAACCCAATTCTGGTAACTATACTGACAATTTGAATACAGATAAATAATGTTACAAAGTTATGACTGTAAATTAACAAGATACATCTAGTCCTTTTGCTGACTAACATTCTTTTATAAAAAACCTGAACTCCAATATATTGTCAAACAAAACCACAACTTAACATCAAACTTTCTTTGAAAAGTAACGTACCCTTTCAGACTGGATAGCAACACTTTTGAGGGTTCTTTCTAACTCAACTCTTTCTGCTGTGAACTGAATAGCTACCTCTCTAACTTCTTTACTTTCTTGGAGTGGCTTTAAATAGCCCTTCTCTGTCCATGTCTTAAATTAAAAGTACATGGTATTGATATATATATTGATCTGCACTAAATGTAACATTACACAGTGATTTTCAGTCATAAAATTTCCTTTACACTGTCACTTTGTCTTAATTTATTTGTCACATACAATTTTTAAAAATTCAAAATCTGCATAGGCAAGATTGTAATTTCATATTAACAAAAGAAATTATATGAAACTAAATACAGCTGTACTCAACAGCATTACTTTAGTCCAAAACACATAGAACACACAGGCATATTCTGTGAATAACAAAGGAACCTACTTACATCACTTTGCTTCATAAGATGTCTACTTAATCCCCTGTTTCCAAGTTGGGCAACTTTACTAAACACCAAAATCATCCCAAAAATCTCTGCCAAATCCACAGGAAAAAGGAACTCCTTGGAAACACCCATGTTTATTGCTCCCAAAACAAGCATATAGCCTCCTACAAGATAAAATTAAATCATTTTTTAAACAAAATTATTTTCCGAGCTTCAGGTTCTTGCAGATACTTTTGTCAACTTGTAACTGTTTGTCTTCTTCTAACCTTTATAAATGTTTTAGTCATGGTATCATTCCAGTAACTTACACCAATTCCATTATCTGGATAACAGGCTTCCAAATATTTAATATGACATGGAAACAAAACCAAACATTACAGTACTGAGATAGCCCAAATGTAAAGCCAATGATTTTTATCACTTTAAAGTAAAAAATGCATGGCTGTTTAAGTAATAAATAAATAGCATGCTTCTTACCTAAAACTCCCGTTTTGGGTTCCACGAAGTCGAAGAGCGATTTAGGAAAAAAGAACATTCTGACCGGTTTCCTTTTTTCCAAAAAAACTGGTGGAGGATAATTGACCATGTCTCTTTGTTCACCATAGTATTTTGCATTTAACTTGGACCAGTAGTCCAATATGTCTGAAGAATCGTCTTTCCCCTCATCTACAACCCTTTTTGCTCTTCTCATCTCCATGTCATAGTCATAAACCACCCTTCAAAAGATAAAATGTGTGCAGTTCTTTAAGAAATACATTTAAAAACTCAATGGTTCTGTAGAATGTGAAAATAAACATTGTAGTAAGCTAGTTTGTGACATTAAATAAAACTTTCAAGAAGACTCTCAAATTGGATATATATATATATATATCATGGTAATCTGTAGAAACTTTAAGAGGCTTCCATTCTCTAATAATTTCTAGAAATAAACAACTGATGGTAAAAAAGCGCTCTCCCCGTCATTACTATAAGTTATTATATGACGATTACAGTGTTATAGCTTACTGCGCGTACTACGATTACCTGATATTTTACCGCTGATTATTACAATGCTGGATTTACACTGTTTTTATTATATTGGGCACTTAATTATAAAATACAGGAGTTTATTTGAAACCTGTTGGGATTGAAAACCCAACAGCTTGTGAGATAAAATGAAGCATTTTTTTCAGGATGGGTTCCTGAAAATGCTGGAAAACTCCACCTTGTGAGAAAAAGTTTGCTAACATCAAGAAGTAAACTGTTTACAACAAGACAATTTACTCACAGATTGCAGGTTCATAATAAAGTTGGAATAAAAGATATATATTAAAGAAATATCCTTCAATAGCAACACCATGACATTTTTTTCTTCACTTGATGAACAGTAAATAATCACCTACCCTCTTTGGGACATGACGTTTGTACTGGTAGGGATACATATTTTTGAAACGAGGCGTTGCCAGCCTGGATGTTGATTAATACCTGAAACCAAGAAAAAAGTACAGGATCAGAGAAGTGATACTGTCTCCAGGTATAGTACAACCAGCTGGAGTAAGCACATTTGTATGGAAAAAAAGGGACACCACCTCCAGTGTTGTACTTGACAAGCTCTACAAAATGCAGTAAACAAGAGTTCTCAATTTTTTTTTGCAGAAAATTACAATTTATAAGAAATCCAAGGTTGCAGTAAGATTGTGAATATAGGACTTCCCAATCAAGTTCAATAGCAAATTTAAGAGTTTGGAAATTTGTGAAGTGCAGTTCATCATTAAAAATAGGTCTAAGGTCAATTTCAAGGTCACAGCCAGTAGGTGACTTCCTACTCACTAGCTGATACTCGTCCATCATATTAATCATTGAACCATGATAAAGGATTAATATACACGATTTAAATATTCTGTGTGAAAGTCTTATTTTCACACTTGTATTTAAAAAAAAAAAAAAAAAAAAAAAAAACACGGGCCTGAGTAGGCATCAAACCCATTCCCCCTAAATTGAAGTGTTTGACAACTAAGGATGTTACCACTTGGCCAGCAAATCAAGCAGTGTAATGGACAATATATGATTCCTGTCATACATATTCATCCATCCAGAAGGTGAGAATGGTATATATCTGGAAAGCCTGTGCTTGAAGCAGGTTTTGTTCTTTAGTCTTTTCCAAAATTGTGAGTGATGGCAAGTGTTTACTTGTGTCTGGAGTAATTTTTCTCTGTGTGTTGCACTGTATTGCCCATTTTAGCATGACCCGCACAAAAGTTCATTCAAGCATTAGCACTCCTAAGTTTTCTGATAATAAGTACTAGTTATGTGCAGCCATATCTTTGATTCATTAAAAATATAAGAAAGCGTAAAAAAAATGGCTTAAATATTATTATTTTTAGTTATTATGCGACCGAAATATGCGGACAAATTTACCAGCCTTCAACTTCAATGTAAGATGACAGACCACAGTTACTCGCCGACATTTTTTTTTTTTTTTTTTTAATACTTTTTTCTTTGATATGTTAAATACCAAATTGATAAAGTTTAAAAATGCTCCAATATATATAATGAAGTTTATAAATGCTCCAATACAAAGTCAGGGAGGCAAATTTTTGGTGAACCGAAGATCAAAGAAGAATTAAGATAGATCCCCAACTCTAATTTTCGTCTCTCCAATGGGCAATGGCAATGGGTTGCCAAAGAGTAGTGCTAATAACAGAACCTGTTTGACATCTCTACATGTTTTGTAAAATGTCACAAACGGCAAACAAACCTTGTTAGTGTTTAAACCAGTGCATGACACCTTACCTAGTCGCACAACTCTTGAGAGCGACATCTTGGGCTTTCAGCACCCTGCCGCCGCCTCCCTGAATAGTGTCCGGTTCAACCCGTAGCAACCACAAACGGGTACGTAATTTTCGTCGTAACTGATATTACGACTGCCAAAAAACGGCCATTAGTAAACATGATATCCACACGGGAGCGACGGAATCATTCTAAAAAAATTGAACAAAAATCGTATGCCAGGGACAGATATAGGTAGGAGCAATATAATTTGATTAATTTCAAAGTATTTATAACTGATTCTAGAAATCTTTTAAGATTTTTTTCGTATGCCGTACGGGATAAACAAGATAATTACGGTAGATNCAAAGTAAAAAAAAATGTTTGAAAAATGAAAGTTTCAGGAAGTTACAGGGTGGGGGGGGTATACTACAAAAGTACCGAAGAATTAAGATAGATCCCCAACTCTAATTTTCGTCTCTCCAATGGGCAATGGCAATGGGTTGCCAAAGAGTAGTGCTAATAACAGAACCTGTTTGACATCTCTACATGTTTTGTAAAATGTCACAAACGGCAAACAAACCTTGTTAGTGTTTAAACCAGTGCATGACACCTTACCTAGTCGCACAACTCTTGAGAGCGACATCTTGGGCTTTCAGCACCCTGCCGCCGCCTCCCTGAATAGTGTCCGGTTCAACCCGTAGCAACCACAAACGGGTACGTAATTTTCGTCGTAACTGATATTACGACTGCCAAAAAACGGCCATTAGTAAACATGATATCCACACGGGAGCGACGGAATCATTCTAAAAAAATTGAACAAAAATCGTATGCCAGGGACAGATATAGGTAGGAGCAATATAATTTGATTAATTTCAAAGTATTTATAACTGATTCTAGAAATCTTTTAAGATTTTTTTCGTATGCCGTACGTTGAAACAAGATAATTACGGTAGATTCGGAGTACCTCAACTATGAGTCTATGTACATGCCATAATATGGTACTGATACAGTTAAATGTTTATAGTCTTTTAACTCCAATGTCCATTGTTCTCATCAGATTGGTTAACGATTTTTAGGTTACTGTATGTACGCGCAGACAGAACACTGTGAATTGTTGGGATATAACTAATGAAGCTACTGGGAGTACTAGTAGATGTCAGTCAGTAGTCTTGAACAAGAACTTTGATGAAAAATGAACAGTTGTCAAAAACAAAAAACCTAGGTTTGGTGGATCGACTACTGATCCTGCATGCCACAAAGTCCAAGCCCTAATTGCTTATACCCCCTTTACACAGGACGGCATCCTTTCTGCGTCTTTTCTGCGACCATGAAATTTGGCATCGCTGTGGTCTTTATAAGGAGGCACGAGCATTGATTTGGTATCAGAATGAATGCTCAATGATCGGCCAGTTGTCGGCACGTAAAGTATTATAATTCTTTAACTCTCAAATGGGGCCGAACTGCTGGACGCAGAAGGGACGCCGTCCAGTGTAAAGGGGGCTTTTTCCAAACACATCTTTCTGAAAACAATGGCACAGTTTATGTTCATATATGGATGGTTGGTAAGGTTGCCTTCTAGTGTTTTACAGTGGCAAAAAAAGTTGAACAGGTGGAGAAATTATAATTCAGAGGCTGTAGGATACAAGAGATATAATAATTTAAATTTTTCAACTGGGCTGTGGACATTGCTACAGAAGACACCAGAGTTACCTAGCTTTCCTATTTTCCAACTCTGGTCAGGGGGTCTCCCTAAAATGCACAATATAGCACAACACAACACTAAAAAAAAGAAGTACAATAGCAAGTTAAAACAGGAAATGGTCAATGCCAAGCCAATAGGTGATATAAAGGCAAAATATATTACTAGGTAATTAATCTTTGACACAACTTAAACAATCCATACACACCCCAATCTGTACCATTTGTTTAGGTTGGGATGTCCACCATATTTCAAAGATGAGGCACTGGCCAACAATGTGAATGACCAGGTGGTGAGAATGCTAACTTGAATGATTCAGATACTCCTAAACAGGGTGGGTTTAGCTGAAAATGACCATCTATCTAGCTAGAGACATATCTGTGAATATCTGTAAAAAATCTATCACTCACCCTGGTAGAGGGTATGTTTGGAGATCACCACCACAGTAACTCCACATTAACCAAAAATTCATCTTAAAAGCAAAGAAAAATTTAACTATGATCGAGATACACTGCGTATGTAGTAGAGTGTACAAGTGTACAACTGTTGCACAAATACAAAAGTAAACTATAGGGTATTGCAGAAGAGGCAGTCAGGGNGTTGCAGTTATGAAGCTTTTGTTGTTCAAAATTTAAATTTAAAAATTATGATAACCTAAAAATGAAGCAATTAAGCCCTTGACAGCACTGGATTATTTTATTTACAAATGTCCAATGCTTGTAGAATGTACATGGACCTACTTTCAACATTGATCTCATTGAAAGCAAAACAGTCATGCCACTCCCATAAAGTGACAAAAAGGTTGCAAATGAATCTCACGTCAGTTGTACGTACATATTATATCAATACTTTTTCTTTATAAAGTGAAAAAAGAACAAGCCTGTAGCTCAAAAATTTTGGAAGTTCAGCTATTTTTCAAGTAAAGAAATCGCTGCTCTACTTCCTTGTGGTCTCCATATTTTAACCCCACTATATATAACTGTATATATATAACTGTCAAAAATGAAATCGTGCTTAAGGAAGTAAACCTCAGGCCTACCCAACTACCAGACTCTGCACCGAATGATCCTGAAATCACCGGTAGATCGGACCACACTACCCGTTTTCAAGAAAAAAATTGGCATTTTGGACTTAAACTTTGGGCCCTCCCCTTTAGGACCAGCATAAGAATAATATCTATGGTAAAAAAGAAAACAAAAAGAGAAAGAAATATGTTAGTGAGGACCCAGATAATGTACCTCAAAACAAAAGCTATCCATTGATAGCATCAAAAAAGTATTACTAAGAATGTTCAACCAAAATGGCCAAATTCAGCCTGGAAAATGGGTGCTAAAGTCAGTTTATTCCCAGATTCATGTTTCATTTTTGGTACCTGAAAAACTCCTGAAGGTTTTATGTTTCTATAGAAGTTTGAACTGTAATTTAATACCATTTCAAGCATAAATTGGCACAAAATCAGTGTTTGCAAACAGTTATAAAATGCAAATGCTAACCTCTACCATGGGTGCTCATATGTCCACAGACAGCAGAGCCCATCTGATATGATGACATAAATTATGATAATTTTGTGCCTTTGTACATTTTCAACATGAAGGAAATCGACGTCTGTGATTTTTTCAGATTAACTCATGATGTGAGCCCAGATGAAAGCATTGACTTGGGTTTGGATAGAGATATTATTGACTTGGATGATTATTATGAAGAAAATGGTATATCGGCTTCTACCACCGAAATTAAATCAAGGAAACCCCCAACATTAAACACCAAGCCTGTGAATTCAACATTCAATCTGGACAGACATGGAGATGGAGTCAATTCAGTACAGGACAGCTTTAATATCATGGGTCTCTCTCATAAAGCTGAATTTAATAACAACTTAGAAAAAGAAAAAACCAAATGGATATACAACTATGAAGATGAATACAGCAAGAAAAAGACAAGCACTTCTAGGCAAAGACAAGATACCAGTGATGTCATTTCAAATGGAACTGGATATGAAAACTTTCCAAAAAATGTAAGTGCAATTAACCCAATGTCAGTTATATGTTTCAAGCCATTTTTGAAGAATTCAATGGTCAAATAATGACCAAAGAAATTTTGTTAATATATGTATTCATATGCCTATTCTGATTATTGTAAAATGAATTCATGTTCTATCATATATATATATATAAATATATATATATATATATATATATATATATATATATGTCAATAAAAAATAATCCACTCTATGATAGAACATGAATTCAATATATATATATGATTAACTTGACACTCCAGTCTAAGTTCTGGTAGAAATAGAATTATACCTTTAAGTTCTGGAAGGTTTGAGCAACAGAGCATACAACAGTGATTAGATTACTCACTACAATTTATGTATGGCAGAAATAACATATGCATTCATGAGCATTGATCTGGTCTGGTAAGGTTTGTCCTTTGATCACATTCACTTTCACCCTGCCTTCCAATATCAAGCTGAGCTATAATAGTATGAAGAACAGATATGGCAACAGGCCAGATAAACAGGAAATCAATAGAAATGCTTCATAAACTTGGAAAGAGTGTAGGCATGTGAAAAACAGAGCAGACACTCATTGTACACTACAAAGTAGTTATTGATTCTTCAGGAACATCATATTAAATGGGCCCACACAGTATGTTTCAGTGAAACTCACTGTGGCTACAGGAATATGAACCACATGAATTAGTCAGCAGGTTGAATGCATTATTGCAGTCATATTCTTATACAGATATATATATATACTTTGATGTCAACTATTTTTTTGATTCTGTTTACTGTGAAATATGGAACATTTGGATGAAAATAAATAAAGAAGTGTATGTTCTTGGTCATAGAATTACACCTACATACTTGCCTAATGTGCGTCTAGTTTAAGATTCAATTCTTGTCTACAGTTTTTCATGTGTTGTCATTAATACTATGCCACAACAGTACACATATATTTCTAAATCTAGATATAATAGATTCAGCTTTGTATTGGTCCTGAACTACAATTGTCTACGCATTTCGAGAATATTATGAAATTCAATAAAATTTTGAAATAAAGGAACCTTTGAACAAACTGTTCATTATTTCAGGAATATGTTAGAACAGCTAAAAATGGCCAAGATGCTGCTAGGGCAGACAGAAAACCAAGACGTCTCCCTCAAATTCCACCATCTCTGTCAGGTGAAGATGAATTCCAGGCAGTGTCCAATGGGACTGTACCAGAGTCGCAAAGTGAAAGGCATGATCTTCATTTGCCTCAGCATAAAGGTACTAATATATGTGGAGTGGATTGAATTATTATGCTCTAAAAAAAGCAATTTGTGTGTTTTTTAAAAAAGAAAAGGGGATGTATAGTCAAGGCTTGAATTAATAATTTTAGACCTTATGTTGGTTTTCTTTCTCTTTTTATGTACAGACACAGATGTGTTGCCACCTTCATAACTGTGCACTTACAGTGATAACACGATAAGTGGAAAACCATTAAAATTTAGTAAGATTCATCACTTCTGTGTGTTTTAAAACAAAACATTTAAGTTAAATGTTTTGTTTTAAAACTCACAGAAGTGATGAATCTTACTAAAATACAGATCAAATTCAAAAATCAGCTTGACCGGACTGTTTTTACAAAAGTTATGCTGTTTTTTTTCCTTTTTTTAGCATATATGCAACACTAATAACACACTTCAAGGAAAACCGATAAGCCTATTGTCTTGAAATGCAGCAATCTTACTAAAATGCAGGCCCAGTTCAAAATCGACTTGATGGTTTCAATTTTGATGAAGTTGTGCCCTTGCATTTAGTGGTTTTTCCTCGGATTCAATTCTTAGGCATGTTAGCAGTCTCATTATTGAACTAACTAGATATGTAAGTGTTCTTTTGATATATTTTCTGCATCTTTACAATATTGTTAATTGATGATATAAAATGATGGTAAACCTGTTATCATGTATCAAAGATGGAAATATGCTGTTACTCAAATCAGTACAGTTTGTCAGATTCAATCATTCACTATGTTCAGAATCTTAGAATATAATAATTTGGGCATTTAAAACTATTCTATTGATATTTTTCCCATCTCAACAATTTTCTTAGTTGATCCTATAACAATGACAGCAAATTGATTATTTTGTTTTTTGTAAAAAAAAAAGTGTTGAAAATGGAAAAAACTCATTTCAGTACAGTTATCTCTTGTTTACGTTTTGGCGTTTTGGCCTAAAGACCTTTGCTAGTCACATTTTATAAATATCCATGTTACCTGTAATTAATGCATAATTAAAGATTGATGGTGATTATGCTGTTAAGCATTATGTAAGGCCCCATTCAGAATAGGGGACTTACTAGTCTGAGTGTCAAATATGGTGACCTACTACAAAGCTTGCCATCTAATCCGCTAATAGACACTGCATAGTTACCTCATGGGGAAGTATTCAAGTGGGTCGGCCATATTTGACCCTCACAGTGTTTGACCTTCATTTGAATTAGCACAGGCCAATTTGGCCAGTGAGTTTTGAAAGTTGCAGGCCAAATTGAAAATGTACAAGCCAGACTTTGGCCTTTTTTATTAAGAAGTTACCAGCCAAATATTCAAAGTGCAGGCAATGTGTAATGACTGATGATTGAGATGTTATCAGGTACCAATGCTGCATAGTTGGTTATAAGTCATATGCAAATAAAGATAAAATTTAAAACTGTTTTGGTCAATTGTTTAACTCATTTTAGGCTCTAAAAGCACTTGTTACAAGATAAATATTAAAATGAGCTTTAATTAAATATTATTAATATTACAACTAAACTCATGTGATATTAAGGGTGAACTCTGTAGGTCGCTCTGACGGAGATGAAATTGGTGAATAGCTGTAAAGCTAATGAGATTGTTAAAATTTCAATTGTATCCGAGGTGAAATATAATTCGTTATATTGCATTACTGAATGGTATTGTATTGTATTAGCGCAATGTAGGTAATTCAAGTTCTCTAACCCTAAACACATTGCTAATCTTCGCGCATTTGAAAACCTTTTTGCTCTGCTCGGAAAAAGATTTTTAGAGAATGTCAAAAACATGCTTTGGGTTAGCATCAGTTCGTTTCTGCTTTGATTTTGTTTACTCATCACTTCACGCAAACGAAGGCTAGGGGCTTTCAAAATTGACAGTGAGACTGTGAATGCTTCATTACAGAATTCCTCAACATCAACCAATCACGATTATTACTTATGAGAGTGATAATGAGGTTAGCAGTTAGGGGAGTTCCCTGAACTTCCCCGTAAATGTTGGCATGTCAATCGGACTTCTATTGAGTCTAAATTTTGCCGATACACTAATATAGAAAGTTGACATAAATATACTCGCCAAAATGGCGACTAGCATCATAAATTTCACATGCCAGATTGCTGGCGAGTGCGAGTGTCAAACGCTGCCCTCAGACTAGTTGGTCCCCTATTCTGTATGGGGCCTAATATTGTATCAAAATTGAAGGAATCCCTGTTTTGGCCACTGCTGCCTAAGTGAACTTCCATGGGCCTGAAGACCTTTGCTAGTCACATTTTCTGCATGTTCATGATGATTTTATTAATACCACCAGCGTGTACACTGGCAGTACTTATGGTTTTAGTCCCAGCCTGTATCGTACGGCTCTGTCTGCTCCGCCAGCTCCGCAGGGTGGCATGGGATACAAGTCACCGTTACCGCTTCTCCTTCTAGACCGCATGGGCCTGTGTGCCCATCTCTTGGATTTGGATCACATATAATCTCAACTTAAACCCCCCGGTTTTTTGTCTCAGTCGGTGCATTTGCCTGGGCGTGACGCTTGTTGAAACGCACACTTGTCAAAAATTTTGAAAATGCAATGCTAAATATCTCTCAAACTGAAGGAATTGTGGGAAAAATTAGTATAGAAGTCTGACCCAAAGTCATATGTTGAGATTCCAAATGTGCCCTTAGATTTAACCTTTGGCCCTTATTTCAAGGTCAAAGGGGCCAAATTTTTCTAAAAATGGGAATTTTTTGCAAAAATTTTCAGGAACAACACAGACCTAAGCACTCATATTATGGCGAGGGGATACAATTAGGGACTCCCTTCATCTTTGGGAGTTTGGGGTCAATCAGTGCATTTTCATGGGAGAAGCACCCATTAGCATGCTGAAACTGAAAACTCTCCCTAATTCTGGAACCATAAATGCTAGAGTCCTCTTGTATATTGCATTTTGTAGAGCTTGTCAAGCACAATTCTGGAAGTGGTGTCCATTTTTTGTTTGCGATATGGTTTAGGAATTGCGCTATATCAAAACGCACAACTTAGCAATATTCAATGGTGAAAATAAAATGTGAAATACTCCTAAAGTAGCAGAAATACACCATCCATAGTTACTATTGAACTTGAATAGGAAGTCATATACTGGCAATCTAACTTTGACCATGAAATGGATTATCAGAGGCTCAAAGTTTGTATATTGCTGTACCTATTACTTTGTTAGTCATGGTGTTTGAACTGGGTTTAATTAGCATCTTTAATGTTCCTCATGAATGTCATTTTTTATTTATAGCTAGTCCTATGTCCATATCAACCTCCTCAGAGAAATCCCTTGCTGAAGAAATATGGGATGCTGAGCACCCCCAACCAAGTGACCGTACCCCTCTTCAGACACCGGAGACTTTTTCCCCCAACCTCCCCTTTTCTGATGAAGGAGAAGAAGAGTATGAAGAAAATCCCCACTTCTTTCAAAGAGACAGAGCACTTACAGATGATATGCATTTGAAATTCAATACTACATCTGCAAATAACAAGGCATTTCTGAGTTTTGACAATGTTTACCTGATGGAAGACTCATCACCAGAAGAGAAACCAAGAAAGAAACCAGCATCTCCGACTCAAAGATTGGGAAAGATTCCAGGTGTGGAGTCAAAAGGTAGTGTGAACAGTCAGAACATGTACACTCTAAATTGATATTTGGTGCACTTTTTTTCTGCGCAATGCCTGAACATTTGTCAGCTTTGCTGCCTTTTTTCCTGTATGGTGTCTGTATGGTGTCTGTATATTTGCCAGCTTTGCTGTCAAGTATTATTATATATATCTATATTTACCAACAATTAATGAGACTTTTATTTTAGGTGCAATATCGAGAAGCAGCTCATGTTTAAGTGACTTGTGCATAGAATCAACTCATAGGGGAGCTCACAAGTTTATACCTAGGCATAGTGATGAAATTGCAGTGGAGATTGGAGACCCCATATATGTAGAGGAAGAAGCAGATGACTTATGGTGTCATGGTATGTACACATTTCATCCACATTGCTGGAAAGCTTTTTTTAAGGCATTTTCTGGAGTTCTATAATGAATGTTGCAATGTTTAATACACTTGTCATTCATACTTTTGGTGTAAAAATGGTGTAATGGAAACAAGGCTGTTTAGCAAGTAAGTTTGGTTTTAATTTTTTTTGCACCAAAAGCTATCAGATTTTGAAGTTTTTTAATTTGATTATTTAGTGTGTGTGTGTGTGTGTGTGTGTGTGTGTGTGTGTGTGTGTGTGTGTGTGTGTGTGTGTGTGTGTGTGTGTGTGTGTGTGTGTGTGTGATAATAAAAGTGATTAAGATTATTTCACTTTATTTCACTTTTCCAGCTGTAAATCTCAGAACTGGAAAAAGAGGCATTTTTCCATCAGCATATGTTTATGAAAAGAATCTCTTTCATGATGAGGAAACGGGTGAGTTCATTTGTTATATCTTATTGCCAATCTTTACTGAAATTGAGCCAAAACCACCAGAGCTTTAGAGATAACTTGAAACAAACCTCTGCAGTATAGCATGCCCTTACTTGAAATGGCAAGGGTATGCTATAGTGTTTCAAGTTATCTCTCAAGATCAGGGTGGCCAAAACTTGCTTTTAAACTAGTTTTATTTTTACTAATTTTGTAAGATAAATGATTATTATTTTGAATCCTTCAATTTCTATTACAGAGGAAGATAAGAACAGAGTTGATAAATTCATGCTGTATTTTCTGGGTTCCATCGAAGTGAATTTCCACAAGGGTCATGATGTTTTGTGCCAAGCAATACATAAGGTATTCAGATGAAGCATTTATCAAATTGCAAATTATTTTTGATAGCTAACTTGTGTGTAGATCATGTAGATCATGTAGATCATCTTCTTTTTGTGTTTTTTATGTTTAATATTTTCTTACTTGTGTTTATTCGGTATAGAATTTGGGTAATTTGAGATAAAGCATGATAATTTGTCTTCTAAAATTTATTATTATTATTATTATTATTATTATTATTATTATTATTATTATTATTATTATTATTATGTGAATGATTTAAAAATTAGTAAGGAAGGGCTTTGATAAATCAAATGTGTCTGTTATAAATTCTACTGTATATTTTGGGGTTTCAGGTAGCTTTGACCAGAAGAATGACTTTGAACACAACACCACCTCCTCAGTGTAGATTGGAAATTAGTTCATTTGGAATTAAAATGATTGTCAAAACAAAGTCAAAAGATAAGGTAAGTATTTATTGAAAGATATTTAGTTTGATTTTAGGATATTCAAAATAATTTTCAAGATTAATGACTGTCAGCAGACATATCTCTTGCTTTTCATTTATGTAGAGAAAAAGGCTTTATTTGTTGTACAAGATATAAATTAGTGTCTGAAGGTGTTTGAATGAAGTTTAGTCAAAAAAGTTAATTTCGTATTAGCTATGCATGTCATCTCTCATTTGATACCATTCAGTTCATCCCATATCTCCCCACTTTAATTATGTGCATAATGTCATAGATTTTCCCACTATTTAGGCTACATGTATGATCCATTCCTAAGACGCATTTTACCTTTACTTTATGAAAAGTACGTAAAAATGTTTAACCATTTTAAACTGGTAAGAATAATGATGAAAGAGCATGTTGTTTGAGATGTGACAAATATCCTTGCAAAAACAGTTTTTTAAATACAGGGACAGTAAATGGGGTTTACGTGACAAATACAACAAGCATGTTTCCTCTGTTCCTCACAATTTTTTTGAGTAGTTAAAATTCTATCACATTCCACCTTCAAAGTGCCCAGTAGCTTAACATAATCAAGACCTACTTTTTATACTTGGTTGAGAAAACAGTTATGTTCATCCCTTGCGGATTGTAATTTAAGCATGGATAATAATTTCATAATCAAGAAAAATATTTAATAATACTTTTGAGATATAAATAAAGAATATATAAAATGATCAAGAGGAACATTTAAGGCAAAACATCTCATGTACTGTCCCTTTTATAAATGTGGTTAGATAATTGGAATTTTTTTAATGCGCAAAGGGAAGATTGCTGGTTATATTGAACTGTTTGAGACTAATGGGGAACATGGGTTTATATGGACATTGATAGTGTTTGCATCAGTTCCTTAACTGGTGATGGCAGTAACAGGAATCGGTATTATTAGCATTCTAATGAAATTTTAGAATAATGCATTGGTATGTTTGGCATGAAAGTGTTTTTTTTTCTTATTTTTGTGAAAACAGCCATGTGAAAATGTTTATATACATGCTCAGTTGTGTCTGTACATATAGCTGTCACATGCATCTGTTGTCGACATGGCCATCTTTGCCATCGCTGTCCAGTGATAACATGATAAGTAGAAAACCTTTGTATCTTTTGTCTTCAAACTTCTGGAACTGATGAATATTTTTGAAATATAGGTCGAGTTTGAAAATCAGCATGATCAAGCCAATTTTTTCAAAAGTGATGCTGTTTTTTGCTTTTTTTCAGCATATATGCAATACTGATAACACATTTCAAGGAAAAATGATAGACCTATTGTGTCTTGAAACTCAGAGGAGTGATCAGTCTTGCTGAAATACAGGTTGAGTTCAAGAATCAGCTTGATTGGACCATTTTTACCTCCGCCAAGGAGGTTGTTTTTACCCCTGTTTGTTTGTCTGTCTGTCTGTCTGTTTGTCATCAACATAACTCAAAAAGTTATAGATGAATTTCGATGGTATTTTCAGGGTAGGTCAGAAATGGGTTAACTTAGAAATGATTAGTTTTTGGTGGTGATCTGGATCAATAATCAATCAATAAACAAAAAACAAAAAACTAAGTTATGGACCGATTTTGATGAAATTTTCAGGAACTGTCAGAAGTGGGCCAAGGAACAGATGATTAGTTTTTGGTGGTGATATGGATCAATAATCAATAATAAAAAAACTAAATCATTTTAGAATGAAAATTTAGGGGTGAAACAGCATTGGGTGGAGACTTTGCTGCCTTGGTGGAGGTCTACACTCTCGGAGTGCTTTTCTAGTTACAAAAGTTAAGCCCTTTTTCTCTATTTTTTGGCAAATTATGTGAAATCCGTATTATTTTTTGCTTTGAAACGTACAGGATCAATGTAAAGGAATAATGTTCATTTCAAGTTCAAAATTTATCTTGATTGGTTTAGTTTTGTTGAAGTTATGCCTTTTTTGATGTAAGTGGTTACTCCTCAGATCCAGTTCTTAGGCATTTTTCATTTTTCTCATTCTGATTTTTTCAAGTGTGAATTTGAACTTTCATGGGCCTGAAGCCTTAAGCTAGTTACACAATTTACTAACATCTGTATTGCCTATTGTGCATAATTGTATTTTCCCCCCATGATTTTGTTATAAATTGTAATTTTCAACAAAAAATTAAGAACTTTTGTTTACTGCATTATGTGGAGTTTGTCAAGCACAACACTGGAGGTGGTGTCTTTTTTTTTCATACGATGTGCTTACTCCAAGCGGTGTTACAATACCTGGAGGTGGTATCGCCTCTTTGTTCCACTATTTTTTAATAGATTTCTTGAATCTTATCACAGATGAACTATGTTTAAGAAATAAAGATAATTCACATAAAAAAAGACTTTCAAAAGAATTCATCACTTTTTGTTATTTCATTACAGCGATCTGAATGTTGCCTATAAATTTGTATCCACAAAAGAAGTCATCATTTAAGATTTGATTTCAGGCCAAGGAAAAAGAATCTCTTTCTTCTTCCCTCTCAAGCCTTAGAAGTTCTTTCAGGAAGAAACTTGGGAAGGTGTTGGGAAATAAGGTGCATGGTCCTTGCTTTGGTTTGGCTTGCTTTTCATTTAATTCAGAATTTTGTTCTACCCTCATTATGGTGTTTGCATTTTAGTCTTAAGTGTGCATCGAGATGGTTTTGTTCTCGGCATGGTAATTCATGTTGATTATTAGGTGAACACTTTTGTATGTTTGTTATTGATTAGATTAATAGTAAGATTTGATATGTTTTCTTTAGTAAAAAGAAATAAAAGCATATTTATTATAAATATAATTACTTCTCCAAATTTTTTATTACTGAATAATGTTTTGTACAAGGTAGATGAAGTTTATGCTTGTTTAACATTATATCTTGCACTTCCCACAAAATAACTTTTTTTTGTATCTAGGACAAGTCAGGAAATGCCCATTTTTTCTCATTGAAGAATGTCTCATTCTGTGGATTTCATCCAAAGAACCAAAAGTAAGTGTTGTGTGTGTAGTATTCCAGTTTTCTGTGGTCACATCAAAACCTATACTCTTGAGGAACATCATTAAATATAAAACTTAATAATGTATTTAGATATGTAGAATGATCCCCATACTTTTCCCCCCATTTATAGGTATTTTGGGTTTATCACCAAGCACCCGACAGAAGGTCGCTTTGCTTGCCATGTCTACATTGGTGAGACGTCAACAAAACCAGTCGCAGAAGCTGTTGGGTAACGTTGAATTTTATGCAAAATTATTTGGCCTTTTAACATGTATATCAACAATGACAAAAATAAATAAATAGACTTTTTAATATATATTTTAAGGGATTTAAATACTTTTTACTATTTTGCACATGGAGGCAGAGCAATGTGTACATGTACGTTAGTATTTACAGGTCTTTAAGTGTCTGCTGTGTAATAGTGCAATACACAAAATATAATTGTCTCTTTTGCAGGGATGCCTTCAAGAGATTTTACCAGGAATATATGGCTTATTCACACCCTACAGAAGATATTTATTTAGAATGAAATGATAAATTGATCAACTGGAACTTCATGGCCCATAAGGAAGATATGGACCTTTTATCAAACTTTTAAGTAGCCACGTTCCCTCTCCCTCTCCCCCAAGCTTGAACTAAGGCATGAATAGTTGCATTACCTCTTTCAAGAATGTCTATAAAATGTTGTTGTTGAATTATCATTTGATTTACCTTGAACTCAGTGTTATATTCAGTTTGTGCGGAGTTTACTTTTCACGGGTAGGATATAATTGTACCACAACATTTTCTCATAAACGCAGTGTATTCCTATAATTTACTTTTACAAAGAGAGTCAACAGGCATCTATTTACTTTTGCAAAGAGAATCAACAGGCATCTGCTTGTTGCTTACATTTTCAATTTCTTTAATCAAGTGATATACATCTCTGGACAAATTTGAAATGAACACAAAACTTAAAGTCAGTGCTCAAAAACCTCTATTTATACCATGAAACAGTTGTTAATTAGTTGCTTTAAATTTTTAATAAAATTTAAAATGAAATGAAGTTGCCCTTCATTGTAAGGATACTATTTAAGGTAGTGTTGCTTATGTTTTTCTGTTGCACATTTGGAGCAAATTTGCCTTGAAACTCGCATATACATATCCCTAATATTTTGTTGGAAAATACTCTTTTAAAGCATCACAGATAAAAAAAAAATTATGAATAGTAAAAGTTATTAAAAAATAACATATCATAGTGTAGAGAGATGTTTGCAGTGCATTATAAAGCATTCATCTGTTGAATATAAAGACTTATTGTATGATGGTTATATGATACTTTAATGCATTTTCCTTTCTTTCATTAGGTCTTGGTATGTCTATTACTGATTTTTTATAGTGAGCAATTTATCATGAATCATGAAAGTACAGTTCCTTATGTTTAGGCTTATTTCACATGCAAATCCTCTTGGTTGATCTGCATATCATTTTTTCTGAAATATTTTACCATTTTACACAATTTGGTGGCTTTTAGTCACTTTTTTCCATATAAAAACATGATATTATAACATTCTCTTAAACAAGGTTTGTTCCATATATTATGGAGAGTCCATTTTTTATTTATATTTTAACAACTGCTTACTACACATGGTGTTTGGTTACTTATGTGCAAATCTTGCCAATATTAAATATTTATTTATGAAGTGGTAATTACTTGTCTTTCAACATAATTGTATAATTCTTTATCAAATTTAATATATAAGAATTTAATATTTACACTTAAAATTATGATATGTGATATAGAAGCAAACAAAGAGTGAATATTAATCACATAATGGACACTCGCCTACAGATTGTATGAACACCAAGGTGATATATATATATATCCAACAAACTTCATCAAGAAACAACAAATTGTTGCCTTTGTAGTGTTCCATGTAAGTGCAGTTCAATGCCTGTAGATGTAGGCCCCCTCCTTGATCCCTCTATAGAACCAATCGTCCTTCATGTCAAAAGAATAGTGTAGTCCTTGAGAGGTCTAAATATGGCAGAATCAAACATACTCCCATGGCTTGGAAGTCTGTGTTGTGTCATCCTGTTCTTAAGAGATTTTGTTTCATGACAACTTGTGTATAATGTATCATCTACAAACTGGGGAGAACATCCGCTCAGTTTCCAAACATTCCAGAGCTCACGAGTGTCCAACATGTGATTACATTTTCATTCTTTGCACAGCTGGATCACTCAAATATATACACCCAAAGGTTATATTATAGCATTATAATTAATTTTAACTGGAAAAAAAATTAAAACATGCAAATTTGGATTGTGTTTTTGTGTCAGATGGGGAAGTACCAGACATCTCAGATATTATACAGACTTGCAACAGATTCAACTTAGAGTATTTATTTTGTTAGTCCTTTCAATATAGTTTTACAACTCATTTAACAAACATTTATCGTTTTAGCAGTTTTATTTTTAGAAATGATCAACGTGTTGTGCCAAAGACTTAAGTGTTTACTTATATTTACAATTGTTATCAATTTAACTTACGTTTATCTCTGTATTACTAAATGGTGCTCTCTCTATAATCTGTAACTTACATATAAGTCTTTCTTAGTTTTGCATGGTTTATCATGATAAAATTAACTTTTTTTTACTGCTTAATAGCATTAGCATAGACATTCCATGTATAGCTATTAATTCTAACTAAGATTTTATGGTACACCTTGAAGGCAACAACCTGAAGAAAGGTATGACAATGTATGCAATGTTAATAAATCAGTCTGTGTTAGGTAGAAGTTCAAGGTGTGCAGGTTGTAAAGTATGCTGCTTTCTGAAATAAGTCAAACAGAGTAATAGAAAGGGTGAATGCATGGAATTGACAAAATACATCATGGAATAAAATATCATTCACAACCGCCATCTTGTTGCTTTGTTTTTTGTTGGTTGACTCAAAGAAGTTTTCAAAGGATTTTTCTTCGTTAGAATTAGGCAAACTGTTTGTTATCTACAACATAGGACATCAAAGTACCATAAAAACAGGAAAAGTCCATTGGTATTGGATGCAATTAAAGCATTCATGTGGTGTTCATGACAAATTGAACTAGCTCTTTTCGTTTCATAGGTGGAAAGAATTTGTATTTGGCAAGCCATAATGGCAATGCCTGTAAAATGCACTTACTGATCCAAAAATGATGTGACCATCAAATACAACAGGAACATGTTAGTTTTTGAAATTTGAATAGCAGTTATTAGTTTCACCATGTGATGGGAGAGAGCATATAGTATATACAGAGTGCTACAGTAAGGCTGCAAATCCTAGGTACCTTCCATGTTAGTTGAAACAAGCAGAAACCAACTTTTACAATACCTTGGGAAAGAGATGGAAGTCAAGAACATTAAATTTACTAGCAATTGGCAAGAAAAAAATGCAATTACTGGTTTAATGCCTGTATTCCATGTATTTTACAAACATATATAACAAATATTTACAACACCTATTAACAATGCCCTCAGATCTATACATTTTGCTATTGACCTCTGGTGTAAACTAACAGTCTGAGTAGTGCAAAATAAAAATATCACCAACAGTGCAATATAATGTTCCATTATAGAATTATTACTTTAGTTCTTCTAAACAATACATGAAGTAGCAGAAAAGCACTTATTAACAACATAATCAATTGATGTCATGGTGCCAAAAGACGATGAAATATTCATTTTGAAATGAATTAAAATATAATTTCAATCAAATGTTGACATTTTTAAAATTTGACATTTAAAAACAGAATGAAAATATTTTACCTTTGAAATACATACACGGAAGTCACTTATAAGAAAAGTAATGAAACATTTACTTGACACTTGTACATAATTTACCAATTGCAGTAATTTTTAATATCTATCATGGAATTCCCTAATTCTAAAACAATATTCAGTATTAACTAATGATGCCACAATGATAAAAAACAGAGATAGTTAATTCAACATTGTATGTTTGTCAAATATGTTTTTCCTTTGTTCTTGAACTGTTCCTTTCCATCTTTCCTGAGTATCTCTGACTCGGGTAACAATAGTCTTTGAGCCTATGCGGTCCCTAGACTGCCTAGGTGTTGTTATCTCATCTTGGTCATCCTTAAATAAAAATAATATAAAAATGCATTAAGAAGAAAGAAAAAATAATTAAATATATATATAATAATAACTGAAATGCTAATTTAATTTATTTTAGATTTTCTTCTTAAAAAAAAAACACTACCTTTGTCATCTACCTATTTCTGCACTTGGCTAATATTTCATGATAGAAGTTAATGTGACTTTCATTACTAGTCTATTGCATTCTGAATTGATCTTTTTAAGTTAAAATATTAGAACACAATTTATCTAGCAAATATGTTAAGAAGCATAAAAGAAGATTCAAAGTGTAACAATTTGCCAACAAATTTCATCCACTAGTGCAAATGTCTTATTATTAGTGCACTGACAAAATGAAATAAAAATATGACTAGACAATATATCTGTCACTTTTTAAAATTAAAAAACAAACATAAACAGTGCAAAACAATGCAGGGTAAAAATATACAGCCAAATTCATGCTAAACATGTTTTAACATTAATACAAAGATTCACCCATAAAAACGGGATTATTAGTGAAAATTGTAAAGATATCAGTGCACACAGGTGGGTGTTTTCAAGAGAATTCACGGCAAACCTTAGGTCCAGAAAGGACAACTGTTCAGATGCAGCAGGCTCTGTTTAAAGGTGTGAATTAGAAGCAGATGGAGTCAGTAAACAAAGTTCTTTTCTCATATTATAAACATAAACTGTTACTATACTTAATAAAACCAGCAAAGGGTCCTTTCACAATAAAGTTCATTTGGACATACTGCTATAATACACCGACACCCATATGAACCCTTCCCTCCCACTTGTAGTTTCCCTATCTCTTCAGTCTATAAAATGTACATTTTGAACTTAATATACTTCTGAGATTATTGTTTCCAAGTGACAAATAACTGTGCAGTCAACATAAGCATTTAAAGTATATCTAGTACCTGCACTGGTACAAATAAAGTAATACAAATAATTAAAACAATTAAAAGAATTTTTAAAAAGTTCACTGACTCCAATGGGTTACTCATGCAAGAAGCAGCAAGCCAGATAGTTACCAAACTAATATTCACCACCTCATTCTTATGTTGCTGGTATAAACGTTTCCTTCTGTTCATCAAAGGATCAAGTAACAGTAGGAAAAGCATGTATATGACCAGAAGTGATAATGCCACTATAATCAGCACCACCAACACCTGTGGATATTAGAATAATCTAGTATTACTATGATGATTTTCTTAGCATACTTTACAGCATACTAATCTCATACTAAGTATGTGCTATATCATGCCATGGGTTTTTCATTGTATTAGTTTAATCTACAAGGGTCTATATACAATGAGATTGCAGGGAGCCTAAATCTAAGAACAAGTGTTATTCAGAGGGCATGTTTTGGATGAAATGAAATGAACAGAAAACCAACATGTTACTGCATGTAAACTCAGCACCTAAGTCAGAAATTTTGGTTTCTTTTAACCAAAACAGGCCCAAGAAAAAACACATATATATAAAGGATTTCCCCATGCCAGGTAATAACTAAAAGCCTTCTTTTGATATTTCTGGCACCTGGTATTGCTCATATTGTGTTCTTTTTCTCACAATGGTCATCACAGGGTCCAGTATGAGCAAAAACAGCATATAAATCCCCAGCATTAACACGATCACTATGATCAGATTTACAATCACCTAAAACATATAATGCTATCATCATCAGTTCCAAATGTTAACTACTTTGTTTACCAAAACATGATACTTCCTTGTAAATCTTAAATATTAAGTTTGTCTCTTCTTAATACTATTTCAATACAAAAAACATCACTTTAAGTATTTTCTTTGAGCCCTTCAATATTTTTCCAATACCAAATACCTTTATAGTTGTAGTGTTACGTCTCTGATATTTGCAGTCACATCTGAAGCAGAAACCAGCATCAATCTCCTTTATAGTGGGTTTCACTACATATTCACATGTACTGAAATGAACATCAAAATATCCCACATAAACCGTTTGTTAGCAGCAGTGACTACATATTATCTGACAAACAAACAAAAATCATTTACTACTATGCACAAATTTCCTATAATAACTTTCTTAAAATGTCAATCAAGGCAACTAAGCAATAACAGCTGCACTTAATACAAAATACACATATAATATAAAATTGACTTAACCAAGGTTTTTTTTTGTTTTTGTTTTTTTTTTTTTTTTTGATAATGTGCATATAAATACATTTTAATTTAAAGATGTGATGCTACTACATGTCTTGAAATAATTTCAACATCTCAAGCATTTCATGGGAAGTAACAGACATAAATGTTCAGGATTATTTCAATGTAGATAATATACAAACCACTCTTCTGGATTAGCATCCACATTGTGATATACATTTTGCTTGTTTGTTGTGGTGTTTTCAGATCTATCTGGGCAAACACATTTACACCTGATGTCCCCTTGTGCCTGTAAAATTGTTCCATATTAGATAAAAGGCAGGTGACAGTCAATGACAAATGACATAAAAAGATATTTACATTAATATTTAGTATTTCAAACGCCTCAAAATACAGAAATTAAAAGTATATATTACTCAAATTCATTTTTTGTTTACTACCATTGTTTAAAACTAAATAAAAAATGCCAACAATTAACTATGTACTACATGCAATACTCGTCTCGTTGTCATTTTGTCAAGTCACAGCGGTCTTCAACATTTTCAGACTTACCGTTACTGTTGGAATTGTTGTACATAAAACGCCCACAAATATTAGAAAGGTATAGCTAAAACCTTTCTTCCAATCCATTTTATAATCCTTCAAGTTATAAACAAATCTGTAACGTACATTATGCAGCAAACGTATGTTTTAAATTTTGATAAATTCTTATTTAATCTGGATCACAGCAACATCATCGTAGGATCTTTGAGGAAGTTGGGTCACATGAGCAATATCATCAATGGGTACTAAAGTTTACAGCATTCATAATATTTATTTGATTAATTTTATGCATATTAAGTCCCATATTTTTAATATTATTGCATAAGTAATACTTTTCTATCATGTAAAATCTTATATCACAATAAATGAAAACGTGAGAACTTTGATATTTTTCCGATGCCCATTTCCGGCAAGCTAATAACACGTGAAATGGCACTACTGAATTCTTCAATAGCTATGGATAGACATTTAGAAGTCTTGCACGTACACCAAAGTAGGTAAAATGGTAGAATATCTGTAACTGAGTGAAAGTTTGTCTGAGTTTTTCATCAAAAATCGTCTCAAAGTTATTTCAATCATGCAATTTGTAGTTGCATTTTAATGATATAATTTGGTAACTGGTAGTGGTAGTTACTGCTACAGTACAGGACAGTAACACACCTGAGTATAAATAAACCTTTTGAATTCTTACGTCTCATTCACATCAAAAGATATTCATATTTAGTGATACCATGTTTGCCAATTGTTCAGAACGTCATTTTTCAAGAATTAAATGACTGCCTTGATGTTAAGCATGAACTTATTATTGAAATTTTGCTTTTTAAAAGTATTTTACCATGTAGCATGGCAATCCATGCATTAGCACTCCTATTTACGATCTATGATATTTACTTTATGTGCTAACGCATGAAAGATACAGGTGCAAGCATGTCCACTGCGATGCGAGGGCTCTCATATATATCTTTATCTTACTTTAGGCCACACTTTTTTATTTTCATGGATGACATCCTCTGGGGACCCCGAAATTGGTGCAAGAGGGTGAAAAAAAAAAAAAAAAAAAAAAGTCCAAAAAAAAAAAAATACTGCTTAAGTAAAGGAATGCTGTCAGCGCAAAGCTGGAAACACAAATTTACCACAGAAACACGTATTAACCTAACAATATGTCTTTATCCATGCTCTCAAAATATAAAAAAAAGCATTGTAAATACTTCGTAGAAAGGTAAAAAAGTCATGAATAGATATGCTGCATATTACCAAATCTATTTAAGGTTATTTCATGCATTTTGTTGGTAGGCCTATATAGCAATCAATAAAACAAATATCAAACAAACAGTATTTTTATTTGTACTCTCAGATTCACAATATTAAAGCATTATGAACACTTAACAGAAATGTTAAAAAAATGATGCAAAGATATGCTTAATACTACCAAATCTATTCATTTCGGTCCAGGGGCGGATCCAGAGATATTTTCTGACAGTCTTCCAAATTATCTTTGTTAGTCCATCCTTCATTTTTGACCATCTTCCGACAAAAAATTTATATAGGCTACCCGTCAGTGTAAACTTAAAAACCTGACCGTCTTCCAGAAGACCCAGAAGACGGCCTCAATCCGCCCCTGTGGTTGATGCCATTTTGTCTACTTCAACTCACAGGAAGCAGCCAAACTGTCGGGTGGCCTGTCCGACCTTCAGCCCACCAAATACAACTGTACCTTGACGCCCTTGTCGACCCTTTTTTCGCTAGTACAAAAAAACCTGGTATGTGCTGCTTTGGACAGAATGTCACTGAAATTTTCCGGGCGATAATCGCTGGCTGCCGTCAGTCCTTCGTATAATTGTAAAAAGGTGATATCTCCATGCCCAATATCAATGGCATACCAATCTAAAATGACGACCCCCGTTCTCTTAATGACTTTAATTGTCATGTAATTTGAAAGTAATCCTAGAGATGAATTTGACGGCAAAGCGGCCATATTTCCACGTGGTGATAATATGCATGCGCAGAAAGCTCATTTTCCGGCAAATTCAATTTATTACGATGTTTGTGACAACCGACTTCGTTGGGGTGATTTTTCTTTTTTTTTTTTACGGAGAACGCACAGGATGTCATCCAGAAAAATAAAAAAGTGTGGCCTTACCTCAGTATAGTACTTCACCGCCTTAAGTCACACAGTCCTCGTAAAGCCATCCAGTTTTCCCAAATAATCAGTTTTACCCCCACCCCACCCACCAGGAGGCAACCTACCGTGCAGAATTGTTTACAATGGAATGTACCCTGGAAGTTGTTTAGTTCTAGAATTGGTATACGAGCAGTAATAATCTTTAACATACTTCTCACAATCAGAACTCCCCTTCCCCTTCATTAGTGTATATATGAGTTCACAGTGGCATAACGGGTAGATGAGCAGATGAATCTTACCTAGGTCATGCTCTTGCATCATGATTTTGACTCACTTCACAATCAAATGTCTAAAGGCAAAGTAGTCTTGAATGGACTGTATATATATATATGTATATGTTTATCCTCTTTTTCTTTCATAGGTGGTGGTTTACTGATAGGAGCTGGCAGTTTGACAGGGAGACTGTGGACTGGATCATTCTGGTTCTTTGACAACCCAGAGAATGCCCCTGATGCAGAAAAGTGTGCTGTTGGAATGCATGTGGAGTCTGGAGTTACTGACCTCCAGTGGATAAATGACTACCTCATCATTTCAGGCTACGATTCAGGTTTATTGCACCACATTAAACGAGGACTGTGGTCTTTCTACAGTGACTACTTACATGTGATCAAAAGCCCGGTCAATTAAAATTTGCCATAATATTTTCACCTATTTTGTTGCTGTGATATAAAAACAGAAATTCACATATTGTTATATGTTATAATTTCAGTGCATCCGCTAAACCAGTACTTGAATTAAAACAGTTGTCAGTAATGAGTGTAGGCCAGTTGACATTCTTTTTTGATAAATACATTCTACATGAGCTGACACATACATTGTGACTTTTTAGGTGGTATAAATATTTGGAAGTTTACAGAGGACTTGCAAACTGTAAACCCTATTTATCATGCCTTTGAACACGATGACATGGTGAAATCCCTCAGTGTGGCACAGGGAGGTGCAGCAGCAGTGTCAGGGGGATATGACTGCAGGTGAGACACAACCACAATTGTATTTATTTGTCAGTAATCACATTTCTGTTACGAACTGAAAAGTTTCATCAGCTTAATATGAGTGTTATGCAATGTGAAATGCCAAAGGATAGTCAAGTAGTGAATTAACTACATTGTGTATAATTTAAAAATGGAATGAATTGAAGAAAAAGCAGCATGTGATGTCAATGTATTTATAAAAGGATATTTTCCAGGGATTATTTAAGATCTGTTAGGAAGACAGGGTAGTTAGTGCTGTACCATAGCTAGCGTAGCCATCAAGGGCAGAAAAATGATTTGAACTCTGTTTCTGTTTGTCTTTTAGAATCAAAGTATGGGACATTGAAGAACAACAATCCAGCAACACTTTTCAAGGTTAGCTTGTTATCTAGATGTCGTTAAATGACTGCATGCTTTCTTACTGTATTTGATATCTACGAGGGTGGATTTTGCTCATCTTTTTTAAAATTTTGTATGATCTAAGTTCATATTCATTGTTAATGGAGCACCAAACATTGTTACAAAATTTTCTTTATTTCAGGTCACTCTGATGCCATCACTTGTGTAGCATGTCATCCTAGAGATTCCAGTGTATTTCTCTCTAGTTCACAGGTATATGATATATTTTTTTTAAAAGAAACTTAATTTTTACAAAAAGTAATCCAGATATAACATTGTTCAGGGAGTTTGATAGTCAGATTTTGTAACATAATTGCTAGAAATTTCTCTAATGGAATGATCTATGCTTATTTATATATTTGTTTATTGTTTAGGATGGAAACATATTACTTTGGGACACAAGAAACCCAAAGCCAGCTCAGCTTATTGGTAAGATATGTAAAGATGGACTAAGTACAGTTTGTCCTGACATTCTGAATATTGTTAAATCAACCTTGCTTTAAATACTATATACAAATAACAATTTTATAATTATCATAATAATTAATTATTGTAGTGATGATACTTATATTCTTTTAATTTCAAGAACTCCATTTTTCAATTTTTTTTTCTGTTTTCAGAGAAAGCCCCCCCTTCTTTAATAACAACCTGTTTGTCATGGCAGCCAGATAATGAATGGGAGTTTGCTATGGGAGATGAATTTGGAACTATAGTAGGATTAGATTTAAGGCAGTCAGGTACAGCTACATACACACTCAAGCCACATACCAGATCAGTCCACAAAGTGGCATTTGATACAAAGAGGTTTGTATATTTCAAATGAAATTATAGAACCATATTTTCATTGAGAAAAGATTTCACAGTCTCGTGAGATGACATGGAAACTTGGTCAATACTGATAATTTCTAATAATTTTTATTTCTGATGCATTAGTTGCTATCAAACTAGGCACAATGTGTTGCATTTACCTACCTTAAAATGTCGCCTCTGCCACAATGCACACATTATATGGTGTTAACTCTTATGCTGCAACTTTGATATTGAAGCACATTTATCTTTGTCTTTGTGTTGTAGTTTACAAGTTGTTTTCAAATATAAGGTTGAAGTTAATTATTAACCATCTCCTCATCTACATACCACTGTTCCAACTTTTTTGTATCAAAACATATTTATCAAAGTTCACACAGATAAAATATTATGCCAATTGCAGAAAATGTTGTTTTGTAAGCTTAATGTGATGCCCACAGTTTTCAGTTCCCAGTGTCAAAATTCACTTTATTATGCAATTTATTGAACAATAATAGCAGCAGAGAGTAGCAAAGGTAATCACTTGGTGAAAATGTTTCAGTTTAACATCATAAATGATAAGTGCATGATACACACTATATGATACATTGGTAGTGGGTAAAAGATATTGCTAGATATTGATTTTTTCAATTTGGCATTTTTTAGTTTTTGATTTTATTTATTCATTAAGTATTAATTGGCCTTAAGAATCATGTATAACACGTTTGTTCAAAATTATTTACTTTTATTTAGGCTGAGCTTATACTGGCCACTATATTTTAGACTGAATCGGTTTTAATTAAATTTGAAATGTAAACAGTTCATAGTGTTTGCAAGCATACTCTGATAGTGGTTTGGGTTTTGAAATATATGCATTTTTAGTGAGTGTTTTCATTATTGTTTCAGGCCAAATTTCTTAGCATCAGTATCAGAAGATTGCAGTGTAGTGGTAACAGAACTTAATCCCTCAGGAGTTAGAGAAATGTAAGTTGTGTGTGTGTGTGTGTGTGAGAGAGAGAGAGAGAGAGAGAGAAAATACCAGGGAGAAAATGCCAAATCTCACACAACCCAAAAATTTCAGAAAGTTAAGAAATTAGTTGGGCTTTTGATAAATTGTTAAAAAATTGGGGAATATCAAAAGAGCAATGTAATATACAAGTTTACAAGTTTTCCTTCTTCATCATTAGTCTGCCATCCTGTCTCTGAATGCATTTGGAATAGTGTCAGGATAATTAATCACTTGACTTTTCACATTAGCATATAATTGTAGTCTGTTCTGTGGCTGGTCAAAATATACTGAAATTGTGTGTCACTCAGTAAAATATGACTTTCTGGTCAATGTTTACAATCATGACCAAACAGAAAGGCACCACAGTAATCATTTTTGGTTGTATTGCCAAATTATTTATGTATCCTGCACTTGATGTTTAAGTTCTGACACTAATGTGATTTGCCATGATTAAAATTAGCATTTTTCATCCTCACTTTGGCGCCAGTGAATTGAAAGTGACAAATTACAAGTAAGGCAGTCTTTAACTGACTGGCTATTGGCAGGAGATAACTTACACTAACTTAAGGTGTAATCGCTTCTCTACTACTCTCTTTGAAACTTGAAAAGATTGTAAAAGAATCTGTTTAAATTCTTGCTGTGCGCTATTAGGAAGATTGTTGGTTGTAAATGCTCTGGCTTTGAGTTCCCAATGTAAGAATACCATGCATTAGTAAAGATCAGTATGTTCTGCCTTCTGTTTGACTGGTTTATTGATTTGGCTTTATTACTGACCTTGCCACTAACCATTCAGCAATACTGCTGATAATCTGATACAAGAAACAGCATAGGAAAGTTGAAATATATATTTTTTTCATGACAGTTATGATGATATTATCAAGTATTTATAATGGTAATCATGTTTTCAGTGATTTCACAACATTTATACTTGAACCACTGAATTGCTGGGTTTTGTGAGTTTTGTTATATATACTGTATCTTTTCAAATGTCAGCTGGAAAGTGATCTTTTGTCTGCACTTTCACATTTTTAAATATACTTGGTTTAAATTTTATTTTTGGCTTAGGTATCTTTTTACCTTAGAAGATATATCATAGTAAAGAATGCATTATGCATCATTTCCCTTTGGCATATAAATGCAAAAAAAATTGTGATATTGCATTGTTGTTACCCTAGGTTCTGTGATGGACAGTAACCATGTATTCTTGAACATAATCATTGATGTGCCACTTTGATTACAACCAGGAAGAGCTATATGTCCAGTGTGTGTGTGTGTGTGTGTGTGTGTGTGTGTGTGTGTGTGCGTGTCTTGATTGCTACTTTTTAATATTGGATTCTTGTTGATAGAAAAGTGATGCATGTGTTACTTATCTTGTTGGGTCCAATTACCATTAAATGTTTTTGTAAGGAATTTGGTTTTTTGTCCTAGATGGATTATAAGATTAGGATTCCTTGCATTTGACTGACCTTTACCTGGTGCATAGTGTTACTAACAAATAAGGAAAGAAGAACCTAAAAGATTGTTTTTTTGTGTAAATGTGTGTGTGTATTCTCATAAAATTTTTCACAAAAAATAAGTTATCATACGTATGCTATCTAAATAATTAAACATAAGTGGAACTATGTAGTCCTTCTCATTGGCGTGAGTTGAGGTAAATAGCAATGTTGAAACAAAAAATAGAGTGGGACCTGGTAAGGTCATGGGAACTGAAGAGAAGAAATTATTAACTGGTCCAGTAGGAGTGTTTGAATGACATTTTGGCCTCATATGCACCCCAGGGGCAGTGCTTAAAGTGCATTAATCATATTGCTTGTTACACAGGGACACTCAATGAGAGGTTTGAATGCCTAAATTTCATCGGAAGTTTTTCCTTCACATTATGATTTGATTGGCAATGCATAATTATGGTGACCAGTAGAGATTTGTATAGATAGAGTCCTCTTCTAGCCAGTTCGTGCCAAGTAGAATTAAGATGTTCATTTTTTACTCAACCATCAGCAACTTAATTTTTTAGAAATGTTTTATTTGCTAGACCTTGTAAACTTAGCCTGAAATTGAGGACACTCAGTGTTTATCCTGGGCCAGAATTAGGCAGAGTGCATTTTAAAAAAAGGAAAGATCAGAAGAAAAATTTAAAGAAAAAAAAAACATACTTCACTGTTTGAAAGTGACCTTGTGTGTTACAGTCAAGGTTATGATATTGATTTTCAAATTTATACAAGCTTGACTGGTTATCATTGTGATTAAGTTTTGAATATAAAAATAGTTGAATAAAAATAAGATTGCAGTATAAACTGTTACCATAGCAAATATACATAATATATTACTTATCAACCCTTTTGTGGTACAAAAACTGAATAAAAGTTGTGTTGATATGTTCATGGCAATCATGATTTTAAGAAATAGTATTTTTAAATTTTGTTTTTTGTTACAGTATTAAATGTTATGTATGTCAGCAGCAGTCTACCTCTCCCATGCCAACCTGATACCTTGTTGATTAAGATTGATTAGGAAAATGTTTTTGTTTTTCTCCAGATTTTGAAATTGCCTAAATTATGGGACAGCACAGTAATATGAATTGAAAGCTGTATTCCCATGTGATGGGATGAATCTAGTGATACCTTGGTTGACATGATTGCTGTCCTCACTAAGGTTAACTATTAGCTAGGAAAGGGACATGTCTTTGATGTACAATGTAGGTCTTTTGCTAGTACAAATAATGTTGCCTTTTTTGAATGCCCTAGTTTTGTTTGCAGAATTTTTTTCATGTGCAGACACAGTGTTAGGAGTGGTGCTATATGTATTTCAAAAAGTACCTCACAATGATCCACGGTGAAAATAAAATGTGAAATACTCCAAAACTGGCAGAGATATGCCAATAGTTAATATTGAACTTAAATAGGAAGTAATATATTGCCAAACTTACTGTGACCTTAAATTAGACCTTTGACATACTTTTCACCATGAACTGTGCTTTGCAAATATCTGACCTTATATCTCCAAAACTGGCAGAGATACCCCAAACTTACTCTTGGACTAAAATAGCAAATCATATATATTGGCAATATTAATATAATTTTGAATTTGACCTTTGACCTACTTTTTCACATAATATGCACTTTGCATATTTACTAGTTCCAATTTCTCTACAACAAAACCAGATGTATCCATAGCTACTATTTGACTTGAGTGAGCTAAATCTTGTTAAAAAACTTGGTTTTCAGCATCATGTAGAATTACATTAAAATTGACAAAATAACCTATTTTATGCATCATTATTTGTACATTTTACAACTTTGATGCTTGTCTATCTGAGATGTCAAACTAAAAGGTATGGTGTAAGAGGCTTAAACTTAATACATCTACACCATTATATAGCAAAAAAAAAGAATTTCCCTGGAAACTTCATCAATTTTCACATATTGGCCAAGGTATACCCTCTACAAAAATGCTGAGAAAATGAAAAGCCAATGAGACATTTTCAAGTAATACATTTTTAATATGGTCAACTCATCCAAATTTGTCAACCTCCATCTGTAGGTACGGCCCTAATTTCTTGTCAAGTCTTGGAAGTTACTCATGAATGAAATACTATGGCTGAAGCCCGAATGTTACTAGGGAAATGTCTGCCAAGTGTGGTGATAAGAGAGGTGAAGAAATAATGGTAGCCACTCTGCTAAGAAAAACCCAGAAAATGGCAAGAGATCAGAAAAGAAGCACTTGAACAGTTTAAATGTTGAAAGTGTGGGCGCCATTGGAAACAGTTCAGGAAAGGTTAAAATGAAGCATCAACTGTGAGGTGAAAAATCGATATGACAGGCCCAGTTTCTTTCCGTGTACAAAAAATTGACCATAAAAGATGTAGTGCTGGAAAATGTGAAAAGTTACTTGGAAATTTTATGCAAACTATGTAAAAAAATTCAAGAAATTGCAGCTGATGTTGTGAAAGAAAACTTCTCCAACTCAAGAAAACATGAAAATATGGAAAAAGAGTATATGGAGTACATATGGAATGTTTAAGTGCACATCGACTGTCTTAAAGGAAAAATACCCAATCTCAATTCAAGGTGCCAAGGATTAAAGCTGAATGTGTTCACAACTCTTTCATTCCATTTTCATTAACTAGTTTCTAGAGACCTGTGCTTGTTTGATCTTGAGCTTCATTTATAATTTTTTTTTTTTTTTTTTTTTTTTTTTTACTTATGCAAATATATTTGTACATCTTTATTGTAATAAACTTATTATAAATGTTTAAGATACCAACATTTGCCTCTGACACTGAAGGTAACCTAGTTTATCTCACTCTCTCCCTACATTTGTACCAGGTTAAATAATCTAGCATAGAATTTCTGGAAAAAAAGAAAAAGAAACATAGCCTTAGCATTTGTTTAAATTGACAAAATAGCTTTTCTTTGGAAACATTGCCTTCAACAAACATCTTGCTCAGTTGTCCTTCCTTGGGGTTATGCCTGAAGGAATAGTTTCCTGCAAAAATTGGATTTTCTATTGATTTTGCATTAACTTAATTTGCCCTAATTGAAGTGAGACAATTTTTCACTGTAAGTAGCTCATAATGTTAGCTTTAAACAGTTTAACAGCCAATATTAGCAGTGATAACAACATTTAAAAACTTTTTGTTCAATTGGGAACATACCATTAAGCTACCAAGTCAGTTGAAGAACTTTTTTCTTCTTTTTGTTGGAATCAAACAATTGAAATAACAGTCTTAATATTCTCTTATAAAGAATAGGCTATATCTAAATGAAAAGCATAATAAACATAATCTGATGTAGTATGAATTTAAGATTTCCATGCTTTATTTCACTGTCATATTTAGTTTGTGTGTGCACACATTATGGTGATGCCATCATGGTCTTTCTATATCTTCAAGACTATCAACAGATGGAGTTTATCTTTTAAAAGCTCTTGTCTCTTGAGCACAGGCTAAAACATCTGCTCCTTGTTATAGGACTAG